TATTACAATACTTAAAACAATAAGGTAATTAACTAAGCCTTTTGATTTTTGTATTAATTTTTTTTGTTTGTTTGCATGGTTTTGTATTTTTATTTTTTCATTCTCTGTTAGTTACATTGCATTCAGTTATATCTTGTCATTTTTTAGTTATTGTAGTTGTTTTTTTTTATCTCTTTCAGAAATATTGTATAGATTGTAGGAATAACTTAAGCTGGGGGATGGTTTGTTATTTGTAACTTTTCTTTTAATTTTTATTTATTGTGTTTTATTTCGTATTAAGTTTTTTATTTTTATTATCATGTTCAAACATCTGTTTAAAAGAAGGGGGATGTCAGGTATATAGAAATAAAGATTTCGGTTAATAAAAATATTATCTATCGTGGGTAGATATTAATAAATCAGTTGATACGTGACAGCTGTTTGATTTAACACATCCCGTGCATTAAAAACACTTTACAAGTGCTATCTTTGTTTCTTTTAAAGTTAATGAGAGGGATAGCAGTATTGTATAATACAGGTGTAATACAGATTACACGCTACTGTCCAAGTTAAGTTGAACTTCATAATTGACATAGAGTATCTGTTTATTCAGTACCGTCAGCACTTATTCTCGACATGGACGAGCCATCTGGCGGCGGCGAGCATCAAGTACCGCGCAGACATCGCCCGTACTGAATACCTTTCCAACCCTGACGAGCGTCTGCGCTGGCAGGCCAATGCGCTGCCCACTGATGAGCTGTGTGTTGAAAATGCAATCATGCTAAAGGTATAACTGCCGTACGCAAATTTGTTAATTGTTTACTTATAGATATAAGATCAGCACTAAGTAACAACCTTGGTAACTTAAAAAGTATTCTGAATGTAGCAGTTTGTTCTTAAAGTATGATGAACAAAATAAAATTATTTGTATGTAAAAAGCTTTAATGTTACCAACACCGGATCATAATGTTTCGCCTTGGAAATGTGAGAAAGCAATGTAAAAAATCAACTTTTAGACTTCAAAACTCCGTTTAGTTTTCTGCATTTGTTTATTTATTTTTACTAAATATTTCAGCGCTTCAACCGGTATCCACTAATCATAGACCCATCGGGACAAGCCACAGAATTCATAATGCGAGAGTTCAACGAACGCAAGATCACAAAGACATCATTCCTTGATGACTCCTTCAGGAAGAATTTGGAATCGGCGCTGCGTTTCGGCAATCCTCTGCTCGTTCAGGTTAGTGTTCTAACTTAATTATATAATTTTTTGTCTAAATAAGAAACAGATACATACATAAATATTCTCATCATTTTATCAGGAAGTTTGATTTTTTCATTTGTTATTTATGATAAGTCAGAAATCATGCTGTCTGGAAGTTTGGATGTAAAACCGATCGCAAATAATTAAGAAAACGCTCAGGAATATTTGTCTTGTATTTTATTACCTCTTATTTATATGGTTATGTTCTTGGTGTAGGATGTAGAGAACTACGACCCTATCCTGAATCCGGTGCTGAATCGCGAGCTGCGGCGCACAGGCGGTCGCGTGCTCATCACGCTCGGCGACCAGGACATCGATCTTAGTCCATCCTTCGTCATATTCCTCAGCACAAGGTAGGTTGTTCATTAAATTTGAAAAATCTCTCCTTACTGTAAAACTGATATATAGTATAAACAGAATAAGACTAACTGCCGCACTCAGTCCTTCAATGATTACTTAAGTACATACATAGTACTCTCCTATTTACCGTCTAAGTGCTGCAAGAGTCTTGTTACAATTCCTTTTGTGACTTAATTGAGTACAATAGATTTTTTTCAGCACTATGAGGAAGTTTGACTACAATTTGTTAATATTTATAGCTTATATTGTTTAATTTGTTTTTACAGGGACCCGACGGTGGAGTTCCCGCCAGACATGTGCTCGCGTGTGACCTTCGTGAACTTCACTGTGACGCGTTCGTCTCTGCAGTCCCAGTGCCTGCATCGCGTGCTCAAGGCGGAGCGCCCCGACAT